CCCCTCCCCTCCCCCCGCTTTTGCTACTCGACCTTAAACTGCTGCGACGACTGTGAGAAAAGGCTCCTGGGAGAAGACACGGAGGAGGGCGAAAGGACGTACGAATAGAGTTTTCTACAGTAAAACAACTACTACCTGAGCCCCTGGGCTGAAAAACCCCTCTCTCCCTCCCCCTCCTTCTCCCAGATCTGCCAATGGGTTTATTACGCAGATTGGTATACTGACTGGTGTGGAAAAAGTACCATGCCCGTTGAAAAACCTAAGCAAATCTTCTACCAATAAAACAGTTTTATGCTCGCAGTAGTCGAGATTTTTAGCACCTTCCGCCCCCTCGTCACTTCCTTGCTATTTTCACTATGAAAGCAACTGGGGGTTTTGTAGGATTAAGGCAAATTACTTAGTTTCACGGTTGCTTTGACCAATGCTGCACCGTCTGATGGTCAGCCTGCTGCCGACGGACTTGACTTTCGTCTTCTTTCGAAAGAAACACTACCTCAGATATCCTCTCGGTGCCCTCTGGATATATTTGCTCCATTTGACAATTACTGAAACTCGGCTCGGCTCAGTCAAGCAATCTACGCTTATTTTCGGGTTCGGGTTTGATTTATGAAGGCGTGGAACCGGTTTTTTGCCCAGGTATGCTTAGGTATGGCTCTTAACACTGCTAACTACTCCTCAGCATCAACATTCAGGTTGAGCATGAGAAATTCATAGAGGCACTGTTTTCCACAAACCCCGCCGCTGTTTTAAATTTCTAGTTTCAACTGGGGTTTCAGCTCCCTTATAGTCAACCCCGACCCCTCTGTTATGACCCTAAAGACCTAAGCCACTCCTGGGCAAAAAAATAACTCCGACCTAAAGCCCTATACCCCCACCCTCCAGTCATTGTAAGCCTAACTGAATTTTGGTAGTTGCCCTCTATCTGATGTTTGAATTTCGAAGCACGAGGACTGGTGGTGTGGTGGATAACACGTCACGATTCGAGAGATCCGAAGATAGTAGATTGGCTTGACTCTCTCCACATCATTTATAAAAGGGGTCTTCATTCGCAACACCCACACGA